GGGTCTGCATATCCGTTGCCGATAAAAGTCGTCTGTAGAACCAGCGTGTGCAGAGTTTCCTTCTAACGTAATTGAGAAGTTTTGCGAAACGTACGAGTTCCTTAAGAGTACAGCTGAGAGTAAAATGGAACATAGAGGCTACACCAGGCTAGTATGTGGAAGAGGTGAGTTCTTGAAGCCCTAACTTCTTCCTTGTACATATTCTTACTTCTTACTTTGAAGTAACTGTTTCCTTCGTTTCAGGGTCAGGGTCAGGGTCAGGGTCGGGATCTTCGGACACAGAGCTAGAGCAGGTCAGGTATGTGCATTATTACAATGGATCGAAAAACGTACGAAAAAAGGGGTAAGGCGGCCGATCTCGAAGAAATGTTGTCAGAATGCGAATTATACACGGAGTATTTCACTCAAAATATTCCTGAATTGTAAAATGCATTTTTGGTAAGGATAATTTATCTAGCTGCCACTTAGCCACTTCAATCGTACAATTATACTACGTGGTTATTTATTAAACTCGTCTATTTTAAGTTTTTTTGTACTATTTTCCCAATCAAGAGGGAAACTGGTAACGCCTCAAAATTATTACAACATTTTTCACGCGGCTTGGGAAAGCAATCAAAATTAAAGATTCAAGCCGGTGTCCATATGAAAAAGACTTCTTAACATATGTCGACGGTTGGTATTTAGCTACACTAAAGTCTATGCCTAATCTGCATCGTACGTTCATAAACAAGACAACAGGAAGGATCGTATCAATACCGCGAGCAGGCGACGACCTTTCCACGTTTTCCGCCAGAAAAAACTGGTTGGAGGTACTGGTGGCATGAGTTTGCAAGTGTATAACGTTTAAGCCCTCGTTCAAGAGTTAAACTTTCCTTTCTCTTGCCTTCATCTCTCAGCTCTGATAGCAGTGATGACGTCGTCTACTTAGGGGACACTAGGGGGTCTTCCAAACCACTTCCTTTGGAGAGTCGAACGTGAGTTTTTTATGTTTTCTTCTTTAATGACGTTTTGTCATTTTGAGCGAGAAATGAAAGACCACGGCGTTTTTCCTGAAAATCAGTAACGAAATCGGTAAAGCGTGGCGAAAGAGTCTTACGCCTGCAATGCGCGCGAGCCCACACGCCCATCTCTTCCTAGTCTCTCTCGCCGTTTTCAGTCCGTTTTCATTCTCCTTCCAGACCTTTTCTTTGACGCAAACATATTGAGTTATTTGCAGTCTGAATAGATTACTACATCCTGCTTTAATAAATCCAACATGTATCAGTCGCACATATTGTTTTCGAGCTTCATTGTATTTACCACGTTGAACAACACAGAATTTACATACATTGTAATGAGCGTTCCTTTTTAGCCTATGCCCTTATATTGTCGTATATAACCATGAGTATTTTTAATTTAGCTCTACAAGTTGCTCAGGTGACGGCAATAGGAAAGATTCATCGTCTGATGAAAGCTCTCAGGTATTCATTATTAAATTCTTGCAATTCTTATAAGCACGCACTAAATTTCCAAAACACCTCCCATCCTTCTGTAAAAATAAATAGTTAATAATTAGTACATTAGAGTTCTCTTGCCACAGTCCTGGCTCGCTCAAAGCAATTTAGCTCACACGTGACAAAATCGATGTAGATGATCAATTCCATCTGATGAAAACAAAATTCCATTATAGGGTGAAAGTGAAATAGATGAATGCAGTGTATAGTATTGGAACGATAATCCATTGCTACCAGTGTATGAAATGGGTCGACGAAGTAGCATAACCAAAGAAGAAGCCGTTGATATCCTTTTGAGCTCAGACATCCCAAGTTCAAAAGCATCACGGGATGTACTCACGTCAATATCAAAGAATTTGCTTTTTGTTGTCCATTTGGAGGCACCGCATGTGAAAACTGTGAAGAACCTACTTGCCGATGATTTGGGTGCCTGGCATGGAACGGGGACAAAGACATTTTTCTTCAAGCAGGCCGAGCAAAAAGAAACCGCTGACCAAGGTCACAGAGGAAATGTTTGGAGCCGCTAATGTATTCAAGTGCTCGCGGTCGTTTTACCGCAATCAGAGTGACCCAGAGTTACTTAGAATACTCATACATCTTAGAGGTAGGTACCCTGATGGTCTTTATTTCTTGGCCACCAAATACAACTAACTGTTAGGTCGAATTCAAAAATTCGGGTAAACTGAAACATTAAGAAGTTGTCAGACAAAGTTCGCGAAACTACGTGCTACCATCGGACATTTGCGGAACCCTTCGAGGAACCTTATAAATTAGGTAGTTGAGGTCGGACGTTTTGCGATAAAGTGGACAAGTTGTACAGTAACAGGGATTGGTATTACTCTCGTACAATCACAATCGAGTAGTTTCTAAACAATATTTTGTTTAACTAAACGTTACAAATGTCTGATTTGATGACGAAATGCGACCTTTTTTTTAGCCAGGTAGAGACGGCAAATAACACAGTATGGCCTTGGTTTAATATGTTTTGGACAATGTGTAACGCCAAGTAAAAGTTCAACCCCATGGAAACAGCAAGAGCCAAAAGCCATTATATCGCACGTCATATACAATAAGGCAGCGACTTGAACAACTCTCAGAAACTCATTCTCCCAAGGAAGTTTTCCACCAGAGTATTGAACAAAGTGGTGGCATCCTCCAATTAAGATCTGCTGGTGGGCATGCACGAGATATAAAACAAATAAAAAATATAAAGTTGAAAAAGCAACAAAACGAAGATGATGAATTCGTGGAGCTGCTACAAATGTTGAAGGAAGATGCGAGAGATAAGACAATGCCTTTGTTAGAAAAGTAGAAAATTTATCTGATCCTTGCGTGGTACTTGCTTCAAAACAGCAGTTGAGAGACATTGAACGATTCTGCACTAATCCTGCCAAACTTTGTGTCTTTGGTGTTGACGCAGCTTTTAACTTCGGAAAATATTACGTCTCGCTTACGACGTACCGGAACCTGCTCCTTAGGACTAAGGAAGATTGTCACCCAGTACGAATTGGACCTGTACTTTTGCACCATAGAAAGGATCTTGGCAGTTATTATGAGTTGTCATCGACAATGATTAAGCTACATGCACCGATTCAAAACGTTCTTGTATATTGAACCGACGGCGAGAAGGACCTTGCAGAAGGATTTGGACGGCCGCTCCCTTACGCGTTGCATCTCATGTGCGACATCCACATGAAGGACAACATTTGCTCAAAATTGGCCCAGCTGGGAATACCAGCTGTCGTCGCTGAAGAGTTTCGAATGGATATTTTTGGAAAAAATATCGGGACCAATCGACAGCCTGGATTAATTGACTGTTTTACACCTGGCGAGTTAAATGAGGAAATGCAGTCATTAAAGGAGTCCTGGGAGAGACGCCATACCCAAGGCAAACGTTTCTTGGTTTATTTCTTGAAGTATAAGGCAGACCCTATTAAACAAACGATGACACCAGAATTTTGTTCCATGGCGGGCCTTGGCTTCCCACCAGGCGTCTATGATCAAAATGGTAACGAGCGCAAGAACTCTGTTCTTCAAAGAGAATAGGAAAGAAGTGCTAAGAAGCGATTGTCACTTCCTGCTTGCGTCTGACTTATACGACAAACCGTAAAGGGACAGCAAACGGAGGAGGAACTGGCTTTGATAGGTACAGGAGAGTTGAAAGTTGATGCCATGTATGATGATATCAAAGTCCCAGAGATAGTGTTCTATCGGAAATCTGTCAAACAGAAACAGGCGGTTTTAAAGAAATTTAACAATCAGGAGGTAAGATCTACTGATGATGTGTTGCCGGGCACTGGGGAGGATGAGTGCATTCGTAACAATTTGTTGTCTATTTCTGTGGAACAGTCTGGGATTATTCGTGTCCCATTCGATGTCTTGAAACAAATGTTCCAAAAGGCTGGGGTACATCTATCGCGCGTTAAAGAGGCTATTGTGACAGAACCTGGAGCTAACGCCTTTACTGAGCACTATGTTAAATCAGAGGGAGGCTCTCCTTATGTCGTTAAAACCAGATCTTCAAAGCGTTACGGAGTGTTACCTTGTACCAAACAGAGTTCACCAAACAAAANGCAAAACCTCAATGCCAGTTCACAAGGAGATGTTGTTCTGCTTATCGCCAAGCAGAAGTTTAACTTGCGTCGTTCATTGTCAAATCGTTAGGCACATATAAAGACAGTTTCCCAAAGGCTAGGTTACTTTTTGAAATACGATTTCACTATGACAGCGTTATAATGACATGCGTAGATGGAAGTCAGAAGGTTGTTTGGACATGCTTATCCCATAACTTTCAAGCCACCACTACATGTACCAGACTGTTTTTCATCTCTCGCGTTCATTGATATTTAACGATGGCCACAGGTTTACATCATAATCCACAACATTCTAAATATTTAATCACAAATCGTTAATCCAGACACGCGTAAGAAGTCATTTCAGTGAGCAGAAACATTTTAAAAACAGCTGTTTCCAGTACTGATGTCAACAATTCACTGAATTCTGTATCGCTCGAGGAAAATAAA